ATTTTGAAAAGGCGAGTTCGAATTTTAAATTTTAAAATTGATTTTTATGAGAAATTCGAAGCGAATACTGTTGTTTAGGTTTAATGAAAATATCTTTGAAGAAGATTGTTTACAAAAAGTTGGAGCGAGTACATTTTTTTCACCGATTTGTTTGACCGGCACTGCTAAATACTCTATTTAAAACAAAAAAAAAAGTCTCTTCTAATTTATGGCCAATAATACTCATAAATTGACATGCCATGTTCCAAATTCACAAATTTAATGACCAAAGTCATGAAATAATTTTTTGACGGATTTAATCTTTATCATATTAAATATTTTATCATGGATTAGTAGAATTCATTTGATAAATATTTGTTAGCTTATGTACCTCTTTAAAGCGATAATTTTTTATTCATCATATATATCTATTACAATTTTTGATGATCATCGTGAATCCATTAATACAGGACCTGTGATGATTGATAATAAGATAGATAAAACAATTGATGTAAGAAGGATACCTGTGTTTATCCCATTCACACACCAAACAACCTCTAAAAGTCTATATGATATTGAATTTGTTATCGAATCCGTAATTTGTGTTAGAATGTTAAATACTAATGTGATCAAATATTTATACGTGAATATTTTTGTGTAGATATAAGGTTATTTAATCAAATTTGTTCAAATCTATACCTAATATTGATGCTCCGCTCTTGTCCACAAGTGCTACTATACATATATTTTATACGAAAAATAAGGGTAAATCTAAAAGGTTGCATTTGGAGTCAATCGAATTTAATAATTTTAGTTTAAACTTTGAATTTGTATTAAAAAGCCAACTAAATATATACAACAATTAAATTCTGAATTCAATTACTAATTCATATTTACTATCCTAAAATTTGAGACACTAAAGTTTAAATCATTGCTCCGCTCTTATGAGATTCATATTTTTTATATATACGATTAGCAATATAATTTTTTTTTGAATTATAATAGTATAATTTAACTTCTCATAGTAAGTTAGTACTTATCTTTTTTTCCACTTTAAATCCTTATCAGACAAAATTATCTATCACCATTTTATAATCATGGGTGGATCTACAATTTCAAGTTAATACTTAAATGATCTGATTTGAGCAAAAACTATTAATTTACGTGAATTTATAATGAAAGTCTCTTAATCTGCCTATGTTTATAATGATCTAGTTATGTAGATAATATCTACAATAATAATAGTTTCAGTATAATTTTACAAATAAACTTTAAAAAATAAAGGGAAAAAGATCAAAAATACCCTTCAACTTTCATTTATTAATTGACTTTACCCTTACCGTTAAAATAAAGTTATTTTTACCCTCGTCATCTACAAACTTGTCACTAGTACCCCTCAATTGGATGGAAACACCTAAATCAACAAAAATAACACATTTATTTAAATTACCTAATTTTAGCCTGATCCGACCCATCTAATAATATAACCCACATTCCTCAGAATTTAGTCAATGTTCATGACTTCTTAATAAAGAAAAAAGAACAAATAATTTTGTATTGACTTAGATATTGGCTTACGCTGGGGACGGTCAGTTATATTGACTTTTCCTTTTTCAGAATTAAAAGACAAAATAAGATTAACAAATCTTTCTGTTCCATCAAAAGTAACTAATCATATGTTTAACAAATTCACATAATTAGGCTTATTTATTACTACTCATTATTATTAGGAAAAAAAGCCTGATATCTCCCTCAATTTTGCTATTTTGATCTGATATATCCCTCGTTATGAAAATGACTCATATATACCCAATACTCCTACTGTTATACAACTGACACACATATACCATTTTCTTCTAACGGGAGTGAAAAAAAATAATTTTAATTTTAATTTTTAAATATTTTTTTAAAAAAAAATATAATCCATATGAGATATATTTGATCTTCCTCACACGTATTTTTTGACTTTTTTTTCAACAACTAATTTAAATTTATTATTTTGATGGTCAAATTTATTTGTGTTTCACTGGTTTTCTTGTAAAATTTTATTATAGATGTCCCAGTTTTTTTTTTACAAATAGAAAAACTAAATTAAATATAGTTGCAAAAATATTAGTTTTAATTTTTTTTCTTTACACTAAAGAATGAAAGAAAAAAAAGAATACGAAACTCAAATAATAATAATCAGAGTAAAAAGATTATTTATGTACGAAAAAATTAAAATATACCTTGAACTCTGTTAGAAGGATCATATATACCCAACATTAATTTTTTTAAAATTTAAAGTTAAAAAATAAATTTAAAACTATTTTTTTCACTTCCGTTAGATTAAGGGTATATGTGAGTTCCTAATGTAACGGTAGGGGTATATGTAATCGAGCCCATTTGTATAACGATAAAGGCATATATATATGAGTCACTTTTATAACGAGGGATATATCAACTCTAAATGACAAAATTAAAAAGTATATCAAACATTTTCCCCATATTATTATTATTATTATTATTACGGTCTTTCTTAATATAAAATATTGAAGAGAGTAATACTCAAAATAACTTATCCATAGAAAATTGCATAAAATTTGACACATGTGTTTTGGTGTGATAGGTTATCTTTTTTAATTATTTATTCGATATTATTTACATTAAGATCCTATCAATCAAGATTAAGGGTATCCTTTTATAACCGTTGCTTGCAGAGGTTATTTTAATTAAATATACCTAAAGGTAAAAACTCCATTATTTCATTGATATTATAACAACGTCAACAACGTAACAATATACTTCGTAAATTTTTAGAAATAGAGTCGGGACATAATGAGATATACGTGTACTATATCTTTATTCTTGTGAGGTAGAGAGAAACTGTTTCTGCTAAATCCTTCACTTATTATTTTTTTCCAGAAAATGATTTAAAAGAAAAACAAAACTAAAAACCTAAAATGAAAATATGGAAGAAAGAAATATAGACGGTAAAAATATCAAAGATAACCAAAATGAAAGAAAAAAACAATAATAATAAAATCAAAGCATAAGATAATATAAGCATAATAGCAAATCTCCCGAGTAGAACCCTCTCTACCATTCTATACAGAAAAATGCTCTAATATTTACTAACTATCTACTCTAATCCTTGACTTATTCCATTACTTCATTGATAAATATGTAGAGTAATTAAATCATATTCCAATTGTAAAAAAATTGAATTTTGAACGTCTATTGCATGAGTTTAATGTTTTAATAAATGGCATCATGATCACAACCATTAATTCAATGGGATATTATTCTTATTTCTCTCTGACAATGTGAAAATAAAAAGAATATATTTTGTAATTAAATATTGTCCTATATATATATATATATATATATATATATTATTTAATCAAAATATTGACCATGTGACAAAATTGAATCTCAATTAATGAGATGTACGTCTATCATCCAATTTATCAAATATATTGAAAAAGTCAAGCCGAGTATAAGGGATAATAGCCTCATACTTTTTCAATGAAAAAATATTTTACATACATTTTTTTTAATTATTATTTAAAACAGAAAAGAAAAAAGATAATAACTCCACCTCTAAACTACGTTTCTAATCATATTATATTCTCTCGTTCCCACAACTTGACTTTACCCTAAATTATTTTAAAAAAAAATAAGATAACTCATTTAAAATGTCAGAAAAATATATTAGGTATATAAGTTAAATATTATTTTGTATATATAATATATAGTTAATAATAGTTAATGTATACTTTTTTCTATCGCTATCTCTAATTTTAAACACTTTTAATAAAAATTTAAATTTCATTACTAAGCTGATATGATAAAATAACATTTAAGGTGGATAAGTGGGATATGAATAATTCAAATACTTGTTAAACAAGACACATGATCATTTAGCGTGTGAGTGTGATTTTTTTAATCACATTCCAAGAGAGCAGCACGTAAAATTAGTAAAATAAATATAGTATTAATTGTTTGAATTAGGTCTAAGTTCTTCTTATAAATTTCCTCGTTATTATTAGAAAATAATTAGTTATTCAATTATGTTGACCTTTAAGAGTCCGTTATTTCACAGTAATTCTATATGCCTAACACGTGTCAGCTATGCGGTCCATTGTGGACTCCAAAGTCCCAAGGCCCCTGCAATTTGTCTTTTCTATTATTATATTCAATAAAATCCCAATTAATGCCAAACAATTTGATCCCATATGGATTATTTTTTGAATTGATTTGATTCAATATAGTTTCAAAGATTAATCAATGCCTTCTGAGTAGACTCTGTCGCATAAGACTTGCCTAGTGCAATTTATATTCCTTGTGTGATTTGCATGCTATTACATAGTGGAATATTTACCCAATGTGCACAAAATGCTCACCCAAAGGATAAAAATTACTACCGAGGTTGTAATAACTTGCGGGTTATCCTGAAGTTTTCAAAAAAAATAAAATCAATTAGATAATAACATTTTGATCCTTTTAAGTATTATAAGTCATGAATGAATTTTGATTTTGGTTCTCTGTAATATATATGATTCAATATATTTATCCTTCAACAAATTAAAATGTGTTTTAGATTCCTTTATAAGAGAAATACGTTATATTTGAACTATTTCTAGAAGTATATTATTCTCAAACATGAAATAATAGTATTAGCCTATCATAATACACAGATAAATTTGTGAATGTTCACGAGGAAAGGGATCAAAAATGTATATTTTTAGAAATGAAGATTAAATATGCTTAATCAAATATAATAAAAATTAAAATTAAATTTTTTTAATATATGTGTAAAGAGTGTTACGTAAATTGAGATAATGCATGTGAATGGAATCAACAATAACTATATGAGAAACTTTTTTTGTTTTACCCGTATCATCAAAATGTACGGCTTGCTATTTTCTCTTTCTATATATATCTTCTCTGAGTCTCCATTGAAACATTTAAAATCTCTATTGAACTCTTCTTTCTTCATTCCAAAAAAAATTAAAAAATCATACATACCTTGACGATCGATCGATGGCGCGGCGGCGAATAGGGATGAGAGAAATTTGTTGTTCACCAAAAAGTTCATCAAAATCTGATAGTCCTAATTCTCCATCTACTTCACTATTCTCTTCCCCTTCGCGTTTCTCGTTTTCGCCATCTCGTCCGAGTTTTTCCGATTCAGTTATGAATCGGACACTCGAGATGGCGGAACCGATGATCATGAAATGGGACCCTAACACTACTAACTATGCTAAAGTAACTTCTCTTTTCTACGAGAGTAGAGGAGAAGCTAATGATTTCATCAAGTGTGTGTATAATTTACAGAAGGCGATGCACTTTCATTCCATGGAAAATTCAAAATCAGATAAGCTTGTTCGTGCTCAATCGTTGATGCAAGTTGCTGTGAAGAGACTCCAGAAGGAGTTTTACCAGATTCTATCGATGAATCGAGCTCATTTGGATCCTGAATCAATAACTACAGTTTCTTCTCGAACTTCAGCTCGTTCGAGTTTGTCTGAGTTTGAAGATGAGGAAGAGGATGATCGTATTGTTGTTGTTGCTGGTGAGTCGATTTCTGAAGTAGAGGATGTATCGAATGTTGCAATGGCGGATTTGAGATTGATTGCTGAGTGTATGATTTCTTCTGGATATGCGAAGGAGTGTGTGAAGATTTACAAAGTTATACGTAAATCGATTATCGATGAAGCGATTTATAGACTCAATGTTGAGAAATTGAGTTCTTCGCAAGTTCATAAAATGGATTGGGAAGTTTTGGATCTGAAGATTAAGGATTGGCTTCGAGCAGCAGATGTAGCTGTGAAAATATTGTTCAATGGAGAGAGAATTCTCTGCGATCACGTTTTTTTGTCCAACGATTCAATAAGAGAATCATGCTTTACTGAAATTTCAAAAGACGGATCCATGATTCTGTTTAGCTTCCCGGAAATTGTAGCGAAAAATTGTAAGAAATCGCCGGAAAAAGTGTTCCGTCTCCTCGATATGTACACCGCCATCTCTGAACACTGGCCGGAAATTGAAGCTATTTTTTCTTCCGATTCAGAATCTGTTATCCGATCTCAAGTGTTAACGTCACACGACAAGCTCGGCGAGTCTATAAGGACGGCGTTAGCTGAGTTTGAGACAGTTCTCCAGAAGGAATCCTCAAAAACACCGATCGCCGGCGGTGGAATCCACCATCTCACCGTCGATGTAATGGATTACGTTACTCTACTTGCCGATTACAGCAACGTCCTCTCCGATATCCTCGCTGAATCTCCTCCTCCGGCCAAAGGTTCGTTGCCGGAATCATACTTCGGTATAGCCGATACCGATGAATCTCCGGCACCGGCAATCTCACTCCGATTCGCTTGGCTGATTCTCATTCTTCTCTGCAAACTCGACGGCAAAGCAAAGCACTACAAGGACGTTTCCTTCGCGTACCTCTTCTTAGCCAACAATCTCCGGTACATCATCGTAAAAGTCCGTTCATCGAATCTCAAATACTTGCTAGGTGAAAATTGGATATCAAAACACGATGAAAAGGTGAAGCAGTTCGCGTCAAACTACGAACGGTTAGGATGGAGCCACGTCATTGAATCTCTCCCGCGAGAACCAAATGCATCAATGGCTCCCCAACAAGTGAAGGAAATTTTCAAGAGATTCAATTCATCATTCGAGCAAGCTCACCGAAAGCATTCAATGTGTGTGGTAAGTGATAGTTATCTCCGCGATGAATTAAAAATATCCATCACGGAGAAAATACTACCAGCTTATAGAGAGTTTTACAATAAACATAGAAATACAATAATAAAAGAGAGACATTCAGCTCATGTGGTTAGATTTTCTCCGGAGGAGGTAGGACATCAGTTATCCGATTTATTTTTCGGACCGATTGAATTAGAAAGATGTTTATCATTCGAGTTTTCTCCATCGAGATAAATAAAGAAAAAATATTTTATTTGTTTTTTCATGCTATGATCTTATATATTAAGTTGTAGTATATATACATGAAGATCATATTACAGATGTATAGATTGCACAACATTTGTTGATGTGTTCAGAATAAAACAGTAAGTACATTTGATGAATGATGATTTCTTTTTCTTTTCCATGAACTGGCAAGCCAGAATGAAGAGCGAATCTAGCATGAAAAGTACAGTTTCAGGTAGAATCAAAAGTCGAGTCAATTAAATTTCTTAAAATATACAAATATAGAATTCGATTCAAAGCTATTAGGTTTTGTGACTTTATCAAACCGTTAGCTATTCGTCCCTAGTGCTAACCTCCCTGGGATGGAACTCAATATATAATTATAAAGTTCAAAATTCATAAAACTTTATTCTATCTCGAAGTGATGATGCTGTCTTGGACTGATATTTTATGTTTGTTATAGTCATATTTCAACAAGTCTAAAATCATGTTTTAATATTAGATAAACAAAAGAAGCTACACATAAGATACAAATTTTTTAATCATATTGTTGGAGAGGCAAATCTTGTTAATATCTTTATATATTTAGAAACAATGTATTGAACTTATACTATGGTGTATATTTAAGTGAAAAAAATACTAGTTATTAAAGCAAATCATGCAACTATATATCACGTTTTGTTTCACCAATTATTAAGAATTAATAATCCCCTTTGTCCATAATCTAGAAATCTTTTCTACAAGATGCAAGGGTATTCTGTATGTGAACTCTACCCGTTATTTTATATGGAAAAAAATTATATTTTTCAACGCTCATAATGATGTCTTGTTACACTAAGGATTAGGATTTAGAAGGACAAACTAACAGACTAACAAACTTATTAGTGGATCGGACCCGAAAGCTATTTCGATCCATTTTGCTTTACGATTAGCTCTTGTATCCCTTTTTCTTGCCTTTTATCAGCTCGCTAGAAGGATAAATATAATTCTTTACGAAGTGAAAAATGAACACTCTTTCTTATCAACGAGGGACACTCCTTAATGAAATAACTAGTAATTTCTCCAATATTTACGTAGTATACTTTTTTAATAAAAAGAAATTTCAATTGAATCTCGTTTTACTAAGCTAGCTCCGCCCATGCATCCATCTGTCAATACTCAATGCCCACAAGGTCCACAAACGTCTAACCTTTTTTCTATTTTCCTTCTTGGAAATTTTCTAAAAGTTATAGAAAAATTCGTGGAAAATTTATGACAAACAATGACATATATATGTTTAAATTCATGAATTTTGAGATTACGTGATATGAAAGTAGAGTGTAAATATAAAGTTCTTCATCATTGAATTTTAATTTCTTCGTCATGATTGAGAATAATAAAATTTTCTTCATAAATTTTGGTATATTCTAGAACGTAACTTAAAGTTAAATTAAGAAAAGTATAATAATTCTATGTAGACACATAATTATATTCCGAAATACAATTCTAAAAGAAAAGTGAAAATTATTCGTGATAAAACGAACCTAAGTTTTTGACCCCATTGCATGATTTTTTGAGATTACGTTATATGAAAGAAGAGTGTTTGTATGAATTCACATTAAATATAAGTTGATATTATTATTACATATATAAAGAGAAGTCATCATATTATTATTAGTTTGGTTTGACCTAATAAAAGTCATCATAATTTTATTTGTGGGATCTTTAATTTTTGAGACAAAAAAGCCTTTACAAAAGTCCCATTTGGAGAAAGTTCTTTTTTGAACTTTTGTTAATGTCTTAGATTGCCATAAGTACAAGATTGAAAGCTCTAATTTTCCTTTTTTTTTTTTTAGTTAAATAGAGTATCATATTTTATTTGTAAAATTATAAGTTCAAACATACTACTTGGGAATTAATTTTATAGGTGTTCACATATATGTTATAAACAGCGCTAGATCCACCAACTTGAATTAGAGGGGATCAAATTATTATGATGGTGAATTTTCTTTTTCTTTTTTTGAGAGTTTACTCCTTTATATTTTGAATTCACTTAATGAAAATTATGAATCTGATTTCTTTAGTTTGTTTTGTATAACAATTACACTATTACCAGTTGAAGAATTCAGCAATGTCCATATTGATGATACTTAATAGTAAAACTAAACTTAAGTCTTGTCCACAACAATAAGGTCAATAACAATTTGAATTTTGTGGTATTAATGATAGCAACTATACATTAACAAAGTAAACAAAATAATTTAATATACATATGATAAATAGCCACAATTTTGGTTATTTAAACCTACAAGTGAAAGAAAGAGTTGATATTCATTTCTTCATGTATATTATATTTGAGTCTAAAAAAGAAGGGACCAACCTAGTTGTGGTTATTAGAAAATACATCTCATCGTTCACCTCTAATGTAACACGTTTCTTCTCATTTTATAATATTTACAATAAGTATATGCATTGCTCGAATAATTAATTAGAAAAAAAAAGTGTTATTTTTAGTTTGTTCAATATTTCATTTTGATCAATCAATTTGTGATAGAAACTTGAAAGTGTCACATGACCCAATTAGAGGTCAATTTTAGCAAAGACAAACAATGTTAGTTCAGACTTAGGAACGGAGATGACATTTTAAATTTATGAGTTATGAATTTTAGAAAATGACGATTTACTAGATTTTAAAATACAAATATAGAATCAGACCTAAAATTATTTGATTTTACCAAATCGATATTCTGATCACTATCGTTATTAACTTATTATTAAAAGAAAGAAAAAGACTACTCCTACTTTATATGAGTATTACAAGTCAGTCAACTAATAAATGTACTCAATTAATTTCATTTCAAGTAATAACTAAACGACTTGGGCATTCTATTGAGAAATTTGGTATACTAGGTCTTTGATTTGATTATGTATTCCCAAAAGTTGTTAGATTAAGATTCAGTCTCCACAATACACATACGACTATGTAATAAGTCACTATTTTTCGAGCCTCGAGAAATGAAAAAAATTATGTTGAAAACACTGCTTAGTTTCAGATATGAGTTCTGTAAAGCGCAAATTTAAATTTAATCGAATTACAATACGAATATCAAACATCGAATGAAAAACTAAAAGAGAAAAATCACGTTTTTCTAAGTTAATATTATTACGTACTAGCTAAATATTTGAACTAATCATACAAATGATTATTCAATCGTACTTAGAGGTGGACCCACCTTTATCACTGGGGGTGCACGTGCACCTGTTAACTTCGGGAAAATTTTTGTTGTATATATGTATATCTATGTTGAGAAACTGGCAGAAACTAGGATATAATTAACAGTGCACCCATGATGAGTATAGGAGTGTTCTTGGTGTCGTTGGTACAAGGTAGAGGAACCACTCGCGAGACCAAGGTTCAAACCTAGCTAGAGCACTATTTCATTATTTTATTTTAAGTTTAACTTAGAAATCATATTTGGTGCATGCACCCTAAGTCTTCAAATCCTAGTTCGCCTCTAATTCGTACTTAGGAAGAGATACGTGGTGGTAGGATCTTTGAACATCTGCGAAACATAAGGAGAGAATTCAGTGACGTGCACAAAGAGACAAATTAAAGAGAAGAAAAGCACAAACGAGGTTGTACGAATCACTTGATCATGACAAAAATATTAGCTGACACCACTAACGACATTAACAGGTGACCCACTGTCATTGGTCATAGTATAGAGGTAAAACATCAATCAATAGAAAAGCTCTACTAGAGCCCTAAAGTACCATTAGCATGGATTGTTGGTTCTACATGTCTGGTGGCCAATTTTTTTTTCTCTCAAACTTCACATTTATATTATCATTATTATCATCATCATCATCATCATTATTATTATTATTATTATTATTATTATTATTCAATAAATAAATAAAAATGATTCAAAATTCATAAGTTAAATATCACCTTCATCGACTTTGACAAAATTCAATATTTTCATGGTCGTGAAAAGGAACCGCACTAATAGATATTTGGGGAAAGATAAAAGCTAATCTGTAGGGTCTCCTGACCAAATGGAGACCTAAATCTTGTATTTGTTTTCAAAATATTTATTTAGTATATGTAAATAAATATTTAAAATTTAATAATTTTATTTTTAAAATTCATAAATTCAAAATTCTATTCAAATACGCAGATTGCTAAAATAGTCCAATGCGAGAAAGGGAAGGAGAAGAAGATTCGTTAAATAGACTTTTACTTTTTCTAGAATGAGATTTTTCAAAGGCTTTATTTTTTATTTATATTATTATCTTAAAAAAAAAAAAAAAAAAAAAAGGACCACAGAAATAAGTGTACATCCCTGACCTACACATATATACATATCAAAATAATTATTTTCTTGTTTTTATGTAATTTGATGATTGAGTACAAAATTTATAAAATTTAAGAAGATTTTGTAATATTTTGAGGAAGTTTCGCAAATAGCTTATATTAACTAATTAATTAGTATATATTTGTTTATCCGCACAATTTCTCTATTTTTAAATTATTCTAATAATAAATAAATCTCTAAATAGAAAAATATACATTTGTTGACTTTTTTGTCAAAAAATAAGTGATATCGACAAAATATTAAATATTATTAATAATGTCATTAAATGTTTGTAAATAAAAAATAAAAAATACGTCATTCTTGTGAACTAATTTAAAAAACATATTACACACACTGGAAGTCTGGAACAGAAGAAATAGTAGTTTAAAACGTGTTTTTTTTTTAAATCATATTATACCATCTCAAAAAATTACATATTCAAGAATATGATGTATATCAATTGAAAGTTGTTTTCATTATTTCATACGTATATATATTCTAGAATAAGTAAGAAAAAACAGAAGAGATTTTTTATTTTATTTTATTTGGGAGGAAAAAAAAAGCAAGAGAGCAACTTAATTCAATTTTAAATAATTTGTGGATAGTCGACAAATATCAATCAATATAAGTTATAACCATAGGCTTACATTAAAAAAAAATACTAAGTATTAA